AGAGAGAGAGAGAGAGAGAGAGAGAGAGAGAGAGAGAGAGAGAGGAGACCTGGGTGGGGCTGACATCTTGCCTGTGAGGGGCTGAGCTGGGTCTCATGGGTGCTGCCACCTCCACCCTCACGTGGCAGTGTGTTGGGGGAGGTGCCAATAGTCGGGGGGGCAAGGACTCCCAGACAAAAGGCAGGAAGGGGTGCGGCAGGTGGGCCCTGGGAGGCGTTGGGCCCAAGACACTGACCGGGGTCTCAGGAGCTTAAGCCCCTCCAAGAACAGCACGCTCAGGCCCCCCACCCCATCGCCAGGCAGCTCTGGCCAGGAAAGTGTCCCTGGCTGTCCTCACACAGGAGGCCCCATGGTAGCAGAGGGAAGACCAGAGTCAATGGCACCCCACGCCAGCCCCTGACCCCATCCCTGGAAGAGGGGCCCTGTGCACAGCAGCCATCTGCTCTGCCCTCCACCCGCCATGGGGTGCGCCCGTTAACCTGGGACACTCACCTGCTGGCCACTAGGGGAGCAGGGGGCTTCGGCCATCTTCGCTCCAGCTGCTCCAGACGGTACCTAGAGAAGTAGGCAGTGGGTGGGGTGAAGCTGGGCAGGGCTGTGGCCCCGCAGCAGGAGGGACTGGGGGGCCTGGAGCTTGCCTGGAAGGCACAGAAGCCCTTCAGTTCCCCAACCTGACTATAGCCCAGGCGACGCCCCAGACACTCGGTCAGCAAGGAGGGGCTCGTCCCCGTCCCCACAGGATGCGGGGGCCTGGGCTGGGCAGCTGCTGTCTCCACGGCAGTGTGCTGGCTGGAGCTTTGCAGGAGAGATGGGAGCAGACAGGACAGCCGGAGGAGAGAGCAGGGAGGGCTCAGGGGAGGGGCCGGGGACAGAGATGCCGGTGGAGAGCCCCTACTTGTGGTGTGAGGCCCTCAGGGTTCAAGTGGCACCCTGACCGCTGCCCCCATGGCTGTGCTGTTGTTCATGAGGATGAAGGGCCTCCTGGGAGCCTCCCTCTCAGCGTAGTCCATGGCCAGAGGAGGCAGGGTCGGGTCCCAAGAGCCCCTGAATGGCCTGCCTCAGCCCCAGACCCTGCCTGGCCCCTCACCACCACTCCACCGCTTGGGCAAGGGTCTGCGAAGCCCATCCCTCAGTCACTCACATTCGGTGGGCTGGCGGGGCACACCCTCTGGGAGGGTTATTTGTATCTTTAAGGGGAGGGAAGGGCCTGCATATCCTCCTGCCTGTCCCCAGCACCTGCCCCTCCAGCTGCTCCAGCCCGTCCTCCCCTTGGTGCCGTGTGCCTGCCCAATCCCCCAGGAGCCTCCGCCTCCAGCCAGCAGGCGAAGCTCTCACACTGCCACCCCGGCCTGCTCGGTGAGTCCAAGAAGGTCCTCGGCCTATGTCACCCATCTGCAGCTCAGCGTGGGGGTGGGGCAGCACCAACATAGCTTGCGTCAAGAATGAGGGTGACAAGCACGTGACAGGCTGGGGTAGCCTGCAGGTCAGACGTGGCCTCCTCCCATCCCAGCCCCCGTCGAAAGCTTCCCTCCCCAACGGCCCTGGCGTTCGTCCTGCGGTGGCCGATGAACAGGACAACAGGACGGAGGTGGGGGGCACTGCACACTGGGCACTGACCCTCTGCACGCCACCAGCGCTGGGCACGGCAGCCAGGGCACGGTAGTCCAGCTTCAGGGGCTGCAGACCCCGACCCTGGGGGCAGAATGGACACAGCACTAGCAGGAGCAGCTCCATGGCGGCACCCGGCCAGCACAGGGCATGAGAGGGGGTCCTGGGGGTTACTACCCAGCACCCCACAGGCAATGTGCACCCTGCTCCA